TGTCCTGTTTGACCTTGAAGTTTGGGGGGGGGGGGGGGGGGGGGGGGGGGGGGGGGGGGAGCATGGGGACAAGAGAAGAAAGGCATACCTAAAGAATAGATGGAAATTGAATACTGTGTATTGGAGCAGGTAAAGAAATAAATAGTTATTGTTATAGTGTGAGTGAGTGTGAAAGGGAGAGAAAAGAGAAAAAGGACAGGGCAGATGAACGAGCGACAGTGGCAAAAATGGCAAGAGAAGAGAATTATGTTTGAGTAAGAAAGCATAAAAGCCCATCTCTTCATTCAATTCTGACGATTGCCTTTGTGATTTGGCAGTGATGATGTTGCCAGAGGGCACATTAAGGCGTTATAATAGAGTGGCCCATGCTGCTCTGTCTGAATGGGCTAGTCAAGATTGTATCTGTCTGGGAGAAGGACTAAATCGACTTTGACTTCTGGGGGCATCGCCTCATGGCGCAACAAAAGATAAGCGCTGAACAACATGCCACATATTGTGAGGAGTTAGCAGTGAAAGAGAGACAGCAGGGAGTAATAAATATGCACATTTAGTACTCAGTTTGAGGTATGGTGTTTTCTTATTATTGCTTGTGTAAAGAAGTATTCAGGAATTTGGCTGAAAAAAAAAACATAACTGAGGAAAGAATACAGTCTGAGACTGTAAATCGCATACATGAGCACATACTCTCATACTAATAAAGCCATCACAAAGCATTTCAACACAAATCACATAATCACAGTTGCTGAAGTGGTGTAAATAGTGAGCAGGGCATTTCAGGCTTAGTAATACCATTGTATTTAAACAAATACGATTTCTTAAATACACCTACAGCTTCTTATATATGTACAATTAAATATGCATTTTTAAAAAGCTTGTTATTACTGGAATAGAATAACATGGAACACAGAGAGGTCTATAATAGTGGAGTGAATATTAGAAAGAAAAGAATTAAACATGACAAGGCCTGCTGTTATAGGAAAATAATCATCGATGGGGTGGTGTTTTACGGCCATACCTGAAGTTTCAGTAAAAAAAGCAGTTTATTTATCTTACACCACTTAAATTTTTCAACGCTAAGAATTTATATTTATTAGAGTATGACATATAGGCCTAATACTTATCACTCACATTACAACAGATATAAACAGTCTTTCCCTCACCAGCATCTCTTTTTACTCTCTCTTGAAGTTAATAAGAAAAAAATGGAGCTTGTCATGTTACCAACTAACCACAAACAGCAAAGCCCTCAGTCCTGAAGACTCTCTGTCGGAAGATTTAAAGGACCTCAGACTGTTACAAAGCACTCAGAATGGACTGAACTGTTGAATAAATGTTTCCTGAATGAAAACTTCAATATATCAATAATTAATTTAAATCTGTTTATGTGGAGCTTCAACCATGTTACCACAGAAATGATACCGTGTTTGAATGATAAACCTTGCAACCAGAAATACTGCCAGAGCTGCTGTTATAGAAAAGTAATCAATATCTTCTGACCAGTCAGAATCGATAATTTAACGGCGCTCTGGTATACTTAAGCGTTTTCGTATGAGCAAAAGTGCTGTTCAGCCGTAGCTGATCACAGTCATGCCGGTATTCACTACAACAGCACAATTGCAATATACAACGTTTCTATAAACAAGAAATTAACATTGAGTAAGTGAGATTTCAGACACAATAAGGCCAAATGTTTTGTGAATTTTTGCTCCGTCAGTCAAAATAGTTCCCAAAGAAGCCACAGCTGGATGGAGCGTTACACGTGACTGACAGCCCGTAGTAAGTGTAGTAACGGTTTCATTATAATGAACTATTGCTAGAATTGGAATTTTATATAGTGAACACAGACAAGCGGAGTGAAACAAACAGCCAAATATACCAGCGCTCTTGTACTAAATGTCAGCGCTCATGGAACGTCTCTTCTCCAGTCAAACGGAGTCAAGTGAACCAGAAATGACTCTTTTAGAAAAATAATTAACAACATCATGGCTTAAGAGTGTACATCGGTTCCTATTTCTGTTATATGACTTAAGATATTTAGACAATATTTCAACACTGAATCAACTTTAAAG